TTCCCAGGAGAACACTGCTTATAACCAGTTACTGAATAAATTTTGACTTTCTGATCACTGCCTTTTGAGCCCTGGGACTCAATTTTTCACTCACCTGAAAGCTCATGTTTCATGCCATACCTCCACAAGTGTCTGTAAGGATGCTATAGGAGACAAAGTCAAAAGCCTTGCTAATGTCAAAGTAAGCAGTTACTGCTGTCCTCTTGGTCTTCGATTTTTGTTGTATAAGAGAATCAGATTAGTCAGGTACTGTTTGTCTTCCTGAATGCTCCCAGTCACCATCTTCTCCCTTATTTGCCTAGAAATTTCTTCCAGGTGATTTTCCTTCACATGCTTCCCAAGAACTGATGGACTGACCGGTCCGCAGTTCCACAAATCTTCCTCCTTCCTCTCCTTTCACATGGGCATCACATTTGCCCTTCTCCTGGGGTCTCTCTTAGTTGCCACAGTATTTCAAAGATAGGAGAGACTGACTTTGTACTGACATAAGCCACTACCTTAGCATTCTTAGATGCATCCTGTCTGATTCTATGAAAATTTATCTGCCTTTATAAATGAAAGGTATTGTAATAAAAAATACAACAGACCTAGTGGGAAATAGATCAAAATAAACTTAGCTATGAATGCAATACTTCATGATTTTTTTGGAATAGATTTATAGAAAAACCAAACCAACCAAACAACCAAACAACAACAACAACAAAACACCTCCATGACCAAATAACCTGATTTTGACAGTTCGATACTTGGACACAGTAAGTCCATCTCCTTCACCTCTTTGTTGCCTCACCTCAGGGCAGAACCAAAATGGTACAGGCAGCCTGAGTTTTAGGCCAAATGTAAGCTGTCCCTAATACAATTTGGAAAGGTGTTTTGTATGACCTCATATACCTGATGAAGCTCTGCTGAGCTAAGATAGAAATGTTTCTTTCATCAATGTATGATGAACTTCAGCCTCTTTCTCTGTCACTTCTAGTTGGGATGATATCTTTCCTGTTTATAAGACATATGCTGATGATCCCATGAGAGGGAAAAGAAAAGCAGGAGCCTGCCAAGTTCCACTGGACTCTTCCCACTGGAAGCAGAACTAATGTTTCCTTAAACTAGCAACGTAAAATCAAATGGATGCAACCCAAACTTATCAACATGGCCAGATAAATGCACGAGGCTTTGCTATTTTGAAAGAAATGAGCTATTTATGAGAGGAAACCAGGGTTGTTACATTATTTATGAAGAGTTACTTTCTCCCAAGACAGCAAAAATCCACTGGGAACTGTGTTATTTTATGTGATACATTGTGAACAGGACTATTTCCCTATTTAAAATGAACAGCTGAGAGTGGCAAAAGAAAACACGGGAGCTGCAGGTGAAAAACTCATTGCTCTTCTGAGGGCATTGCCTTGGCATTTAAAGAAAGTTTTTGTGCAACAAAACTATTCCTTGTCTCTCAACTACAAACCCAGAAAGAGGAGAGGAGAGGGGAGGAGAGGAGAGCCCACGAAGGTCAGCATCTGTAATTCCCCATTGCTTGCTCTTAACTCTAAGGAAAACTGGGCTGGTGTTAAGGCGTGGTTGCTAGCACAGGTTATCTGCCTTGCTGAAAGTGAAACATAGGGAAAAATAAGACATTTTACTACTGCAAAACCCAGGGAATACCTTCAACTTAGTGTGTTTATTGTATGGGAACTGTTGAGTCATGGCCTGAAACACTGATTGAGTACCTAGGAAAAAGACCTGGTCAGCCCTGGGAGCACAGGTGAAGGCAATTCATCTGTATGACTGGGAGGGGTGGAGCCTGGCTGCACCTCTCCTAGACCTCAGCTAAAGGCTGACTGCCCCTAGAGAAGGATTTCTTTCTGGAGATCTCTCTTCAGTGAACTTTTCCATATAAACCTGAAACCTGATAAGGGTGAACAATCATCTTCTCTTCCTTTATAGTACATTTCTATCATGCTAGTCTCTCTGATATCGCACCTTTGTTGTAACGCCTTTCCCATCATATTTATCTGCCTAATTGCTATAGTTTATCTTGTCATAAAGCTAAAACCTGTACTGAGTTTACACCTGTAACATTGATTTACCCTTATCAACATGAAGTTAAAAAAAAGAAAAAAATCTCTGTTACTTGCCCTTATGGCTCAGCACTATACCTGATCTCAAAGGTTGGCCCCTTTTCTTTTGAAAATGGAGGGGAAAATAGCTGGCCAGTTGATCACAACATATTCTGTATAGCAAGCAGTTGGCAGATCACAGGGAATCCAAATTTTAGAATCCCAAATTTCAAAACCATTTGAGTCATGCTATCCCTCAACTTCTCACTGCTTCTTGCCCATCGTGTAGAGCTGCTATGCGCTACGCTGTGCAGTGAGTGGCAGATGGCTGGCACAGTAGCTTGGAGCATTTGGGACTCAGGAGAGCTAAATCCCTGTTCCACATGAGTCTTTCTCAACTCTAGGAGGAGTTCATGCTACTGAGTTTTGAAAGAGGAGAGCAGAGTCCAGTTTTGCCTCTTGTATCAAACTCTGATTCACCCTGCACTGATACTGACTTGCAGTACTCTCTTAATTGGGAAAATCACTGGGATAGTACTTGCTGCCAGAATTCTGGGTCATAAAGTCATTCTCTGACTCAGAAGAAGGTTTACAACAGCTGTGGCTGTGATACGTGCTCTAGGTGAGTCATATTGGGCTATTAGCACGAAGAGAAGAGCCTCATAAAACAGAAAGATACATACAGAGATGCACTGACCCATCTAAATTATCTTGCATTTGTTATTCTATAGCAAAGGACTTGACAACGTTTTGTCATGAGCTCAGTTTTCAGGAATGCAACACTTAAAAAATGAAGTTACTGAGACATGTAGGAATCCCAAACTGATTTTGAATTTAAAGGGTAAAAGTTGGGCTGAAATAAGTTTTCTGGCAGGTGTTAAACTTGTGGGGGCATGCTGATGTGAGACGTCTCAGAACCTGATCCCAGAGTCATGGGGCAAGAGCTGTGGCACTGACTTGGTGGGCATCCACTGCCTGCATGCTGAATCCTGTGATGAACCAGCCTCATAAAGCTCATACCACAAACCAGTGCCAACAATATGGAGCATGTGGATAACTCTGCTCTCCGGCCACAGGTTGAGATGTACGTGCTTTATGAGTTACAGCCTTCTAAGAGTTGGCCGCTCTGAGGACCAACCCTATGAAGCAGCTGCCCCACAGCACCATGTTATCACTGGAAAAACCAAGAGAACGTGTATCTTTGGCATCCTTTTCTCCTTCCTATCACACCAGGACGAGGCTCCTCAGGCACCAGGTGTTGGGTTTTTTGTCAGTTTGGAACAGGCTGCCTTGTGCCGGAGAAGGGCGTTCATCAATGAGGAGCGGGGCTCCGCGCCCACCCCTCAGCCTCGGTCAGCCCGCTCTGAGGGCCACCTGCCCTCTCCCCACGGGCGGTTTCCCGCCAAAAGCGGCTGGCAGGGGCGGCCACCTCCGCTGCAAAGCGCGCGGCCAGCCGCGGCGCCCGGAGGACGCCGTTGCCTTCGCGCACAGGGCGGCTACGGGCGCCCGACGTGGGCACCGCGTCTGCAGCCGCGCCACATTCGCGCGGGGCTCAGCGTACGCGGCGGGCAGGGGAGGACGCGTCCGGCTGCGGGGCCTCACCGCGGCAGCGCCGGCTTGCCCCCGGCTGCCGCTTTCATTCATGCTTTCTCCTTCGCCATCTCCCTCTCTCTCCGAGCGAGTGAAAACAGGAGTGCGCGTGGGCGGCCGCCGAGCGGCTCGCTGTCAGTCAGCCGCCGCGCTGCGAAGAAGGCGAGCGAGGGAGAAGGAGGGGACCAGCTTTCCCTGGCAAGGGGAAGCTCTGTCGGCGCTGCCGCTGCCTGCTGGCCTCGCGGCTCTTCCCGGGGGCATCCGCAGAGCCGCTCGGCCCGCCGTGCGGGTGTACGTGTGTCTGCCAGGGGCCGCCGCTGCGGGGAGAGGCGCGAGGCAAGTCGTGACAGCTTCAATGGCCGTAGCGGCTCCGGGCGGGCGCTGAGCGGCGGGTGCTGCGCGCTGCGGGGCTGAAGGCTTCGCGGGGCGGGGGGTGCGCGGCGCTCAGAGGACCGCCGACCCCGCCCCGCCGCAGCGAGCGGCTCTGCCTTTGTGCTTCCTCCGCACCTGAGGTGCGAGGCCGGGAAGGGAGGTAAGGCTGCGCGGCGCTTCTCTGTCGGCCGCTTCCCGTTTCGTTCCGGGGAAGGACGGAACGCGGAGGGGCGAGAGGCGGCGGCGGCCCCGCTGACGGGCTGGGGGCTGCGGGGCGGGGGAAGGGCTCGCTCGGGAAGGAGCGGGCGGTTCGGAGAGGCTGCTCTCGAAGCGAGCGCGGCCGCGAGTTCGCTCCGGCCGGATGTTAGCAACAGCTTCGCCGCGCCGTCCCGGAGCTGGCGGGTGAGTGGCGGCGCTCAGAGCGCGGGGCCGGCGCGGCTGGTAGCGGAGCGCGGGGCGCCGGCTGCTGCAGCGGGAGGCAGCTGCGTGTGCGCCCCGAGAGCTGGGCTGAGAATTACGGCTGCGAAAGGGTTTGATTGGGCAGCGCTCGCAGCCGGGGGTTGCGTTGCGTGCTGGGGTTAGAGATTGAAACGAAGTGCGGCCGTGTCGTCCTCTGTTCTGACATCGTAAGCGTTGCGTGTGCCGAAGAAGCGTTTTGGGGGTTGATTTGTTTTCTCAAGCACTTGGAGATGATTTTTGCTGTGTGCGTCCTATAGGGCATTCCTAGGGGGAATGGTTTTAAACTGAGACAGGGGGAGGTTTAGGTTACATATTAGGAGGAAGTTTTTCACACGGAGGGTGGTGAGGCACTGGAACAGGTTGCCCAAGGAGGCTGTGGATGCCCCATCCCTGGAGGCATTCAAGGCCAGGCTGGATGTGGCTCTGGGCAGCCTGGTCTGCTGGTTGGCGACCCTGCACATAGCAGGGGGTTGGAACTGGATGAGCATTGTGGTCCTTTTCAACCCAGGCCATTCTGTGAATCTTTGTAGTATTTTGCTGTGTTTTTGTCTGCGTGGATTTCTTTTTTAACTTCTCATTCTGCATTACATTTATGGATTAAGGGCTGAGCTTTAAAATGTTTTTCATTATGGTGCAGAGTTCTCAACTGGATGCCATGCTTGTAAAACTAGAACAGAAACCTCTAAAAGACAAGATCAACAGTTTCAGGAGGTCAGTATAGAAGGCGCAACAGAAATGTCAATCTGAGTGTTTATAGGATGTGTCTTCTAATATAAATGTATAAAGCAGGAGAGCAAATGAATGCATTCAGCTTGAACATACCTAAACTTCTTTGAAATGGAAGGGTTTTCTTTTGTGGGTTTTTTTTCCACTTTGGCATGCAATTCATGTTTAGGAAGAATTTTGTTAGTTTTGGTTTTGTTTGTCTATGGAGAAGAAAAAAAAAAAAAAAAAAAAAAAAAAAAAGCCAGAAGGGGAAGAGGAGTTGCTTATCATTTATGGATTTTTTATTTTTATTTTTTGGTGGTGGTTGGGGTTTGTTTTGTTTTCCTGGGATCTCAAAATTCCATCAGGCAGTAGGATGCTTTCCACTACCTGGAAAGGCAGATGTTGCTGCAGCAGGGGCAATTACACTGACTTGTAGCATAAGAAGGGGTGAGGAAAAAATCCTGTGACTCCTTTTGTTTCTGTATAAAACATCAGTCAAATATAGAGCTTTAAGTCCCTCAGATAATCAGACTGTTAGAAGCAAGAATTTCGTTCTGTGGTGTCTGCTCTATTCAGGGCTTGTTGAGAGAAGAGATTAGATATGCAAGACAGTTAAGTTCAATTAAGAAAGGAAGTGAAGCTAATGCACAAATTAAGAAATTTCTCTTTGCAGAATAAAATGAGTTCATTTGTCACATCCTCTGTTAAAGAATTCTGCCTACTTGGTTTCACCTGTAAAGCTGTCTGCAAACCTCACCAAAGGTGATTTTTCCCGGGATTTGTTGATTGTTGGCTGCTCAACCAAATGGCTTTGACCTGTGTGCTGCTGAATCAGAAAGAAGAGGCAGTAGAGTCTTACAGCCTGTAGGTTTTCTAGAAGAGGTTTTCTGATTGATATCTTTGTTTTTTAAAAAAAAGTTCACAGTGAAATCTCATCCTTGCTGAAATTGCTGAGAATTCTTTGTTGCAATTCTTCCTAGGTTAGCTTCTTTTTCTGCATAGACCACAGTCAAGTATGACTGATGTGACCCTAGGGTCAATTTATGATGAGATAGAGATTCTGTGGTTAATCTATGAAGAATTTATTTCTAGTTTTTTTAATATAACATGTTTCTACTTCAGAGGATGTTTGAGACTCCCTGCGAATGAAACATGCAAGTGAAAGTCATGAACTGAAGACTTGTGTTAGTTTTTAGCAAAGCAAGGCCAGAGGAGATACTGAGTACATCCTTCAGGCCCTGCTTATATATTGGTTTGATAAATAAGTTCAATCTAACAGCAGGAAGTGACTCAAAATGGCAAAAAAGGAAGCAAAAATCCCTTACCTTTGAGGTATTTGCTCACCTGTTTCGTGTCAGGCAGACGGCACGCAGCGGGGTTTGCATCTTTGGGTCCTTATAAATGTAGTAGGTGAGCCATGATATGCAGGAAAGACAGTGGTCTCCAATGTCTCTGGAACACAACAGGATTTCTTAATCCTACTGTGGACCTTAGGCAGTTTTTTGGCTCTTCACACTATGTTAATGGAATAGAACCAGTTTGACTATTTTGCTACCATTCCTATCAGTAGAAGTGTTAGTGCAACCTTCAGCATTTTTATAACAAAGCTGACATGTAGATGCCACTGCATGCGTTAGCAGTAATTCTTGGTTTTGACATAATTTCATCCTTCAGGTATAAATAACTCACTTGAATTAAAGGGAGACAGTGATCCTCGTTGTAGAACATCAGATAAATACCTTCCAACAAACACTGCTGTATAATAAGTCCATTTAGACCTTTTTTTCTACAAATAATGCATATGATGCTGGGTTTGCATAGCAATGAGTTGTGGAAAAAGTGCTAATCAAATGTACTACGTTTTATGCGCATTAATTTGTTTAGGTTGTTACCTATTTTCATAATCCTTTGTACAAAGCTGATCGTTCAGATAGACCAGAGGTTTGAATGGGTTTTGAAATCTTCAGTGAAAGGTTACTGAGAGCTCCTAAATGCAGACATCCCAGTAGTTTTGCCCATAGTGATGCTGCTGAAGTATATCCGTGTGTATAAGCTATGACAAAGCTAGAGTTAACTCTCTGTTTTCTTAAATCACTCTGTTTTCATGAATTCAATGTTCTGAGTAATTTATATCTTACTAGAATTGTTCTTTTGCTCACTCTGTCCACAGATCATGTTTCATTGAAAGTGCTGACGAGAACCCAGAACTCTGAAGACAGCGGTTTTGTGCAAGATAAGAATGTTAGAATGTTCCTTAAAGAAGCTGATGGAGGATAGAGCTCTGGCAGTGCAAGATGACACCATAATATAGTCTGAAATTGTAAGTCTTGACAAAGGCTAGATGTCTTTAACTTACAAGAGATTTTTGCACTCAGGAAACTTAATGGTGGGTTACAGTCTGCTTTCAGGACCTATGCAAACTTGTTTGGGTTTTTGGGGTATGCTGATATGGCTATAAACAAACTAGGTTTTCCTCAGTGGGTCAGATTCTCTCTCTACACAGATGAGAACTGAATCCCTTTCCATGAGAGGAAGTAGAGTTGATTCATCCTGTTGAGCCTGAGATCTGCACCCATCATTTTTCTGCTACTTTGTTTTTAGAGCTGCTAGGGAATCTAGGAAGTTGCTGATGTAAACTTTACAACAAGGCTGAATTTATTAAAGGAGTCTCCATTTCTGAAACTCTGTATTCCTAATGAACTGGTTTACTTGCAGAAGGCTGTTTGTAACCTGTAGTTACCATCAGTCATGAAATCATCAATGCTATGAAACATACAAAATATTTCATGTGAATTTTCCAAAGCTTTGCAAACTCTTTTGTTACGACTGAGACTTTTTGCAGTATAGGGATCTGTCATTAGGGAGCAGGTGAGGTCTGGAAGATAGATTATTGACAATTACACTTAAAGTACATCACATGGTTGCACTGTGACATTAAATACAAAAATAACACTATACTTCTCAGATGTGAGATAGATAACTAAAACCGGAGAGGAAAATCAGTATTAATAGCTATTTTCTTGGGAACTGCAAGTCCAACAAACTTAGTTTCTTTCTGTTTCAGAGAGTGGAAGTATCACATCTCAGGCTTCCATCTACTTTTACCTTCATCACAGTTCTTTTAAGAAATTTAAATGCAATAAGCAGTCTTGCAGAGTGTGTTTCTATTTAGCAGTAGGCAGAGAGCAAATCCTGTCCTTTATTCACATGTGACAACGAGAGATGCAGGAAATAATGTTTTTGTTGAGAAATGGAGAACTGATTTCTGTATGGAAATTTACTACTATTAGCTACCAAGCTTATTTATTGTATGTACACACCTTTCTACAGAACAAGATGTGGAAAACGAAATCATGCAACTACTCTTCTAGTAGTTACCCCAATTAAACTCTTAGACATAAATTATAGTGTAGCCATGTATCGTTGTAGAAGTTGGGAAAATTGTGTCTAAACCTGGAGGAGAGGGAAAAAAGCAAACAAAACAAATGCAAGATGAGTTGTAACAAAAGCATGAAAATCCTCAAAGCACGTGTGCTTTGATAAAGGTAGATATTTTTATCTGTGAAACCAATGTGTGAAGTCTAGGTTACATGTCCTCTTAATATCCACTCCTTTGTACTGTATCTGTGTCTGGTGGATAATGGTAGAACAGTTATTTTACAGGTAGTGATGCATTTTTATAAATAATGAAGAAGAGAACTGGGAAACTCATTACTTCTTGAAATGCATATTTACTGAATTAGAAATTAGTCTACCTCGATCCTGCCAATTCTCTGTGTGCCTTTTCAAGGAGTCCAGCTAAAGGTATTGTCTGTGATGTGCCATTAAGAACTAGATGCTGCAAAACTGATGCTGAAGTAACACTAGTCTCTGATCTTAAGTCAGTGAAGTGTGAAATTGGCCTGTGAATAAAAACATACTCTCGTTGTGACTGAAGTTAAACAACTTAAATGAATTCGGATAGTGAAATCATTTGGATGAATGCATACCTCACTTCAAGGAGAGCGTGAAGAGATGTGGAATGTTTATTTTATTGCTCCTATATATCTCCCAGTCAGTGCTTTGGGTTCCTTCCACTGGACTTCAGTCATGCAGATGTCTGTTAGCAGGCCACTGAGTCCTAGTGTTTAGCACTGCTGATTCTTACCCAAGGTTGATCCTACAGCTTGTGTGCTGACTGCAGCCAAGCAAATGGAGGAAGACAGGGATCTTCGCTTTCAGTTTTGTGTCATTCACTCTGGAGGCTGTGCTCCAGACAAAAAAATCCCACACAACAAACTAAAGCCAAACACCAACAGTGCCATTGAATTCATAGCATTCCTCGCAGCCAGATGCTTCCTTCTTCGTGAGGCCTCAGTTTCCCTCTTCTCAACATAGGTCTCAAAGTTGGGTTTTACTTCTCTGAGCCAATTTGTCTTGCATATCATTTTCTTGTTTGTCTTTAGACACTTAAACATTTCACACCTCTTAGTAGTACAGCAGAAGTATTCACACTTCTGAGTCTCTGAAGGCTGAGCTTGAAGCTGCTTTTTCTAATCCAGAGCATCCATATGGTTCTGTGTCAATGACTGGAGTCTGACCTAATTTTGTCCAAGGAGGAGATACTTTGTCTTACATGGGGAAAAGTTAACGGTTTCCTGATGAAACCTAAATCTTTCCTAAATCTTTTTTCTTTTTTTTTTTTTAATCATTCTTCATCTCTCATTTAACACTGATGTTAGACATACTTGCAGACAGTCAGCTGGCAGTATGGAGCATTTTTATTGGTCTCAGAAAGATGATTCTGTGAGTAGCAAACATAACTCAACAGGAACCATAACCAATCCATTTTACACCATTCCAATTCCAATTAATGCTATTAGCAACTTGAATATCAGTATCACAGTTATTTCCCCCTCATGTTGGAACTAGTAAGCCTTGCAAGGTATTATAAACCAATGCATTTGGAAATTCAAAACATCTCTTTTGTTAGAGAACTACCTGACATTACTTCACACACAGATTTGTTCTAGAGACTTAATAACCTTTTAATGCCAAGCTAGCTACGTCTGCTGTTTGAAAGCTTTGACTTCTGGTTGGTATTTTGCCTTGTGTGCAGTGAAGGCATAGGAAAACCACTGGTGTTCCAGTGTGCTGGTGGCTTTTTAATCTCACTAGACTTAGAGACCAGGGTTATAGGAATGGCTTTGGCTACAGATTCCAGGCTATTTGTAACAAAATGTTTTGCCTTTCCAAACTGAGTCATTTGTGGACTATTTATAGGAAGCTACACTGGAAATATTTAATTCCTGAGGCTGTGATTACTACTAAATGTTATTTGTGAATTCTTTCTTAAGTTGAAGTTTAATATGTAATTCAGTTGCATGTATACAAGCCTGTCCATCTTGATGCTTTCCAAATTAGGCTTTATTGCATTTTTCCTTAACTTCTCACTCCAGAAAGTAACATTCTTAGCAGTTTCTACCGAGAAAAACACTTTTTTTCCCTACAGATAGTTGCTGCTCCCTTCAATGGGAGAACATGCTCTGTTTGTAACACCTGCAGTATCAGTAGTCTCTAGTGGCATGTTCAAATTTGCTAGGAAATACAAGTGCAACATTTTATAAAGATGCAAAGAGCTTTATCAGGAATTGTTGTATGAAAGGAAAACTACTGAAAAAGTAAGCTTAGAATTTTGCATGTTGGGGAGCCTTTGTTCTGCACTGTATCTTGTAGGTGCTATAAATAAGTATTTTTTATGACAGATGATGCAGCAGAAATGCTAAGCCATGGCCTGAAGCAGTGATTGAGCACGCGGTGGGAAGGCAGGGCCAACCTAGGGAAGCTCAGGTGTATGCAAAGCACCAGAGTGACTAGAAGGGGTAGAGCCAGGATTCACCCCTTCCCAGACCTCATTTAAGGGTTGGCAGTGGAGATAAAGGAGTTTAGCTGAAGATCTCTGTGTACCTGAAGCCTTCTACAGGTAAACAGCTTCTTTCCTTTTTTTTCCTGTGTCTACAGCTGCTGCATTTGAGCAAATCCTCACTTGCTGCAGCCTAGGACCTCTCTACTCTGCTGTCATTGCTGTTCTTTCCATTGCATCAAAGGTGATTCGCAGTCAGTAAAAGCAGGTAATTCCAATTGCTATCTTCTTTCTCTTCTTGCTGCTTCAATGGCAGGAGATATTTAGCAACAAACAGCATTACAGACTTCTTCAAGGATGTGAGATAAGGGGAAGGCTGCATTGGAGTATAATAGCTAAACAAATAATACATAATTTTCTAGTATAATAGCAGGTTAGATACATCTGGAAGACAGGATTCAAAAAGCTGAGGTGTGTTAAAAGGACAGTAGTAACCAACTTTTTTTTTTTTTTTTGTCAGGCAGAAGCTTGCCTAATTTCAGTCTTGAAGAGAAGTTGTGTTCTGTAGCCAAGTTCCTGTGCAGATTGGTGGTCGTCAGTGTATGATAAGAGGACTGGGAGAGGAGAGGTTGAGAAAAGTAGTGAGGAACAGCGCAGTTCTTTGAGTCTGCTCACTTCTCCCAGCTGTTCTCTGAAAATCAATTTGTCACAGTCAGTCCATGGAGTGTAAGCTGACAGTTGTCATGGAACAGTCATGACAACATGCAAGCACTAAAAACTTTTTTCATGCAGCTACTTTGGGAGTTATTCTTACAGTTCTGTTCTTGAGTAGCTACCTGCTCAAAAGATACATAGGAAAACTAGCCTCAGTACATTTCCTTTGTTTCTCAGTCATTCATGCCTGTTTGCATCTCTGTAGTATTTTGGGTACAGGTGCACACTTCCATAAAATGAATGATAAGGCAGATTCCTGCAGGCTTGCTAATGGCCACGAGTGTCCTTACCATGTTGAAATTTAATTTGTCTCCACTCTTGTAAGATTTAGGCCATGCTGTTTAGGTGGGGACAATTAGAAGAAGCCTGGCACCTTGGTTCAACCTCTCTGACCACTACTCTCTCAAAGATGTTGTATGAGGTGTTCCCTTGGACAGGTGTTGCTGCTTTTAAATTTATTGTCAGTTCACTGAATTACAAACAACTGAAAAACAGAAGTGTGTTTTTTTTTTTTTTTTAATATACTTGTAAGCAAACTAAATTTTTTTTTCTAGCATAACCCAGAGGCTCTGGGAAAAGAATTCATTTCTTTCTGTTGGAGAATTACATTTTTCTGAAGATTCCAGAAAACCCTTTTATTTTTAAGAACAGAGATTTGCTGCTTCCTTCCTGCACCTTGATGTGTTGAGTACAGGTAGATTTATTTATTTTCTTTTACGAAACATCTGCTATTCAGTACTCCAAAGGCACGCGTTCCAACATTT